TGTACGTAGAGTTATAATACCATTTTCACTTCTTAAATATAAATATATTTTCTATATAAATAGATAAGTGATTTTACGCGTAGTAAGCCACATAATGTAAATTATTTAGTGATAACAAAATTTGTAATGAAACTTGTAGACGCATCTAGAAGCAACCGCGTTTGTCACTCGATTAGGTTGTTTGTTCCAACGATTGATTAACAATTTTGATACAAACATTAATTTCTTGGTATGATAGAAATTTACGAATCGCAGGAGTAATTAATTAATCGTTTACCGATATTGTAAAATGGTTGATTTCAGCTCGCGCTATTGTTTCGATATGTAACTTTAGAAACGTCTAGAAATCGATTTTTATTATCCATCCAATGGATAGACATTTAAAGATGAAAATTAAGAAAATATATTTGAATGACTGATTAATTGTTCATTGATATTGTAAAACGGGACGGCGTGTCTATTTAAAGACGTGTTATATTATATGTAGCGTACGATATGGAACTCTAGAAAGGTCTAGAAATCTATTTTTAACATGAATCTTATTCATAGGTAACTGTCGACTGCAAGAAATTTCCATATTTAATAGACTGCATATGAAATAATAATATATAAATAAATCCAAGACTTTTAAATGATCATTATGGGACTAGGAAATTTGTACATATTTTGGGAAAAATCAGCCTATTTGTAATGTTTATAACTGTGAGAGTTTGCAGAATAAAAGAACGAGGGCAGCTATTTATTGCCAAATTTAAAGTTAATATTATGGAGGTTGGAATCGTTCAGAGTATATTAAGTCAATACATATCCGACGCTATCAAAATGCTGCGTGATCTAGCAATAATCAATGGAATAAAATTGTACAACTCGTAGTGTAGATGCAATAAGGATTATCCTATCTTTTATAAATTATTTATTAGGAAAGATAAAAACAAATCCAGACACAAGAAATTTATACTACTACCTTTATGCGCGCTACTTCATCCGCGAAGATTTCAGAAACATAAAAATGTATATTGAGATACAACAGTTTTTATATTACTCTGTCAGGAACAGACATATGAAAAGTGCCCTCAATTTCGCGCAGTGGTCTTTGCTTCTACCGGAACCAACATACACACACATAAACGGACAAAATTTTTGAAATAACATATTTTGGCTTCTATTGGTGTTATTAAAACCCATAGATTAGATATATTTTTCTTCAATAATTCCCATATGTGTACACACATCGTCTAGCTACAAAGTTTGTATAGTAAGTAAGAGTAAATAAAAAAAAAATGGGACTACGCATTGATTGCGCATACGCCGCACTACAACGTACGATATGGAACTCTAGAAATGTCTAGAAACCGATTGTTATCCATAGATAAATTGGACAGCGCCGATGACACGAATTTTAGACGATAGTCGTCGGAATTTTGAGATAAAGAACGTTGAGTAATGTTTATTAAATCAGTATACGTTGGAGGGAAGGGACCGTTAATTACAATGTTGACAAAATACCATCAGATTTGCGTGTTCTACCGCCTGTACAATAGATTGTGCTCAGAGGAATTGTTCAATATGATGCCCACAGCCACTTTCTACCATTGTACGACTCTCCATCGACAGGGAGTTACTGGACACACGCACGCACAGTACGCGACCATTGAGGCTGTAGGACATGGGGATTTTTTTTTATACAACTTAGAATGGTAAACAAGCTGACGGCCCACCTGATGGAAAGTGGTAACCGTCGCCTATAGACATGAGCAGTACCATGGACATAACAGAGTATACTATTTCGCCCATGATACCCCCCATGCGTTGCCATTCCTGAGGACTCAGGTGTTATTCCTGAGGATTTCCTAAGGGTGGGGCCCTTCAAACCGAAACACAGCCATACAAACACAACTGCTTCACAGTTGAAACACTAATGGGACAGAGGTACCCAAGCAATCGACTTTTGTACAAAGTCTCCCTCTGGTAAATATCTGCGCGTATAGGAACCTGCCTAATAGAACAGGCCACATATCACACATGCACTGGTTCACGTACGCATTAGAACACAACAGACAATATTTACCCACTTTTCCATAATTACAGTTGGTCATATACGAAATTTTTCATAATCGCAACTTGTCGTATACATTGTCAATTTAGTTGACAACTAAATGTGTCGCTACAACAACTTGGATCGATTTTACAAAACAGAATTTATCGATAACAATCTCAAATTAACACTAAACCCTTTAAAAACACTGTTTTGGCCTATTTCTAAAGTTTAAACCCTAAATCGAATATTAACCGAAGATTATAATCGATATAAGTATTTGTATTGCACTTAATTTAGAATCGTACATCAACACGTAAAATTTAAAATATATTAGTATATGTATATTGATATTTTAATTAAGAATTCTAGAAAGAAGAGACATGGCATACACTATCTAGTATCCATCATCCATTCAAATTGCTCAAAAGTCACATAAAAAAATTATGCAAGCAAAGGCATAGGATATAGCTAATAAGTAATGTATGGCCCGACTAAACAAAACTGGTGAGGAGGGGAATGACCATTAGTAATAGAAACTATCGCCATGTGGTCCCAGCATACAATAAGCCACCCCTTCCTTTCCCGTGGGTGTCGTAAGAGGCGACTAAGGGAGAGCTAGAGATGGGCAACAGCATGCCTCTTAAAACATCTCCAAAGCCTAACTGATAAAACGACCCAAGGGGTAGGCTGTATTCAGCAGTGAACAGTTAAAGGGTGATATGGTGATGACGATGATGAATGGGAGCTAACAACACTATTGCGCATGTCTCAATGTTTATTAAGCCTTGGGGGTATCCTGCTGGTGGTTAACTTTAAAATAAACCTAAACAACGTAATTAGCTGCAGACAACAATAGATACATTTCTATCATTATGTATTTTGAAGATATTTCTAAAGAAACTGAATATTGCTAAATAATAAACACATAAAAAATTCAATGGAAGTAAGAATAATACAGTTTATATTTCAAGTAAATGAAAATAAGAGAAATATTTTACTCTGAACAAAAAAAGCCACTTCAATACTTAGTAACAAAATACACCAGTGACATGATGTTTCGTAGTTGCAAATTGAAAATATTTGAATTTACAATGTGAAATCACATGTCCACAGGTATGTTTTACTTTGTCTGGTTACAAGATTTTATGCCCCAATTCTTTTATACATATTTTTTTTTGATGGGTGAAAATGGTATGGTAACCCTGCCTGCGCTAACGGGATGCACTTGCGGAACACCAGTGAATGGTGATAGATGAGAATGAAAACAGGTCAGTTAGCCCATCATGATGAATTCATCAGGAATTAACCATGATAGTTTCCAGGGAGAACCGCGAACAGGTCGACCTGGTTGGGTATATTGCTACCAATGGAATTCTCAGTCTCCATTACTAACAATCCCTTTCCCCCCTCTTTTATACATATTATGTCACAAACTTAATAGCACAAGTGTAATTTGTCAATTGCACTTGTGCTATTAAGTAAATAAAACAAAAGTAAATCAAAAACTCAATTTCAAATATCATAATATCATATTGCAGGTGTTCATAGTCTATGGTAAACACTTACCATTAGGTGGGCCGTATGCTTGTTTGCCACCTCAGCGGTATAAAAAAAATATTTTCTAAGGCTTTGTCAAGTATGCATCAGTATATCCTATGTGTTAGGATATAACCTATACATATATAATATTCAATTCAAATCCATATAGTAGTTTTTATCGAATATCCATTCATCCTCACAAACTTTTGTATCAATAATAGTAACAAGATCAAACTATTATCTTCCTAGAAGTAAATAAAATCAGTTAGATATCAATATAGTAATATGATCAATAAGGGGGAAGGGGATTGTTAATAATGTGGACTACCAGTCCCATTGCTAGCAATATACTCTATCAGGTGGACTTCCACGTGGTCCCCACTAGAAACCATACTTCTAAATTTCAAGTGTATTCATAACAATGGGCTAAATGTCGTGCCTTTTCATTCTCACCTATTATCACTCACTGTTATCCCGCCAGTGTATACTGTTAGGTAGGGTTACCATTTCATTATCATCCAATGAAAAAAAAAATTATCATATAATATAATTAAAAAACTCTTCATGTCAAATTGCTATATTTTTGTACTTATATATAATAGCTTAGATAAAGTAACAGACTGAGTCATAATACTAGAAATATTTAATAAATATTAATAATAATAAATTAGTTGCCTACAATTATTTTGTTTAATTCCACAAACCAAAAAATTCAAAATAATTCTAATCAACTAGTGATATGGATTTCTGCAAAACAACACCTAATTCAGTAAAATATTAATAAAATAATAGCATTGAACTAAATTCTAAATAATAAATAAATATGACTATTTGTATTATCCTTTTTATAAATTTACAAAAGGTGAAACATGTAACTTAAATAAATGAAATAATCATGAAGTAATTCATTTTGAAAATTTCGTATAAACCGACGTACAATATTTATTTATTATGTATTAGATACATAAGGTCAATTCACCAAAAGCATAAGTATGAAACAGTTATTATATTAGTGAATATATTAACATATCACGTCATAGAGCTGGAATATGCTAATCATAGCTTGTGTAACACACATTGTTACATTGCATTAAAATACTTCGTTTTATATACATCATAATAAATAAAAAAAATATATATATAAAACATTAATAATTTCTAATTAATATTAATTAGAGGGATGTGAATCAATGAAAATTACAAAAACATTATTAAAATATTCTAATAAATATTCTAATAAATATCTGATAATATAGAACTGTTTCTATAATTCTAGTGTATATGGCCTTAAAATATATAATGAGTTTATTACATAGGATATTGTAAATATTTACAGTTACAGTTCATATTGAAACACTGTTGTAATGTGTCCGGCCGCTAATAAACAACACAATAATATGCAAAAAAACAAAAAAATACTTACTGGTCGCGGTTTGTTGTGCTGGCTTGTTCGTGAAAATCGTCCATCTCGCTGTATAAAGCATGGAAACTTCACGAAGAAATTTATTTTGCAGATTTTCCAACACTACAAAGTCCACTACGTAAACGACTAGCTTACACTTTATAAATTTGGCTCATTACTAATTTATTGCACAGATTTTTTATAGCACCTAAGGTTAATAATCTAATATATTAATATAGTATCTCTATAAATATTTTCAAGTATAAAAACAGTAAAGGCACAACAAGAAAGGCAATTTATTTATGTTTTATGTCGCAGTCTATAACTCTCAATCAGGCAATTCTGGTTTACAATTTTAAAACGTCAAAGTCAAACTTCGTTTTGTCAAAACAATCTCTCAATCGGTACGTTCCTTTATCAGTAATAACAAAAAAATTAAATAAGAATTATTTTGTAAGCATTAATGCTCTGAAATGTAATTTTTCAATTTTCCTAGTTATTTACATATTTATTGTCACCTTAATTTCTGTCTCTTTTGTTACAAAAAGGGAATGAAAATACATAACATAATTGTTTTTTTTTTTTTTATGTAACTTGGAATAGCGGAAAGAAAGGATTTTTTAGTAATGGAGTCTAACTGCCCTATTGCTACCAGTATACCCTATCACGTCAACCTCCATGCGGTTTCCTCTGAAAGCCATCGTGATTGATTCATTGTTGAATTCTTCACATTGTGCCAACTGACCTATCTCATCATCATCATCTATCATTCCTCACTAATACCCCGCTAGTATACACCGATAGCAAAGGCGGGGTAACCATTACATTTTTTCCACGTAGTATAAAACGTAGTCGCTTCCCACCGTTTGTACGCTTAGATCTTTTGAACTATGCAAAAGACTAATGTAGTTTTCATCAATATATAGCGTGATTCGAGAGGAAGGTTTATGCGTATAGTTTAAAATTGCTTTGTGTTAATTTGTTCAAATATGACTATAACTGTTCAAGATATAGGAAAAAATCAAGTTCACTGAGAGCTTTCATCGAAAATGCTGAAATATAATAAAATAATATGTGATGAAATTGTTGTTTTTCATTACAACCACAAAGAAGTCAGTGATGGCATTCTCATAAATATTATGCAGATAGGTATCTGTAACCGTTAGAATGTTTAAAAAAAATACACAAATTATATGGAGTTTGGAAATTTAGACCGATACAATAGTAATATTATTATCTCTCCATGCTGGCGCCACATTGTTTTTACATTGCACTCATGCTAGATCCCTTTAGGAAGCCGGTCTTTATAGCAGACCGTTCCTTACAGGAAAGAGCAGATAAAAACTGGTAAACTACCTATAGATATGAACAGTACTATGGACATAACAGAGTATACAGGTTTACCCATGATCTCCTTCATGCGTTTACATTCCTGAAGACTAGTGTTGTGATACTGTACCCTGTAATTTCTTTGACATATCCCACCCTTCAAGCTGAAACACAGCCATGCTAACACAACTGCTTCACGGTGGAAACACGAATGGACAGAAGTGCCCAAGCAAACGACTTTTGTACAAAGTCATCCCATGGGAGTTAACGGCTGATATGATGATAATCATGTCAAATCTCTTGCAAAGTAAACAGAGAAATAATGTCCCAAACTACCATCCCTGTGCTCTATTCTGGCATATACCAAAGATGCAGAATGTGATGACATCATGCACATCGTAGAAAGAATGTGTAGGTTCTAACCTTAATCTATGTACACACTGGTTCTAAAGTTCTCATTTCAAACGGAAATGTTATTAATTGAACGAGTATTATATTACGTTACTGGAAACAAGGTCTTCTCCTTATTTAGATGTTCTTTCATACTATACTTAACAGTTCGTGCCGTAGGTATGTAGGCACTTGTATGTACTATAAGTACCCATATTTACACAACGTATTTAAATCATAATACATTATAATATATAACATCTATGAGTCACATTTGAACCCTGACATTACCTACAAAGATAGTGCCGGAAATATTTCTCTACGTACCTACTGTGTACTGACACTATCTCCACAGATATACGAATCAGTATAAATTGTTTGAAAAGATAACTGGATTGTACAAACAATGAAGTGGGATATAGTACAGAAAGGGTGGCCGACTTGACTTAACCCAAAATCTACTGTTCACGTACGAAAAATCTACCAATTACATACTTATTGAAATCTCAAATTAAACTACATACTTTAGTACACAATTACGTAATTTTATAGTATTGTTTATTCTATTAAGAGCGAAAATATAAAATTGAAAATTATTCTTAGTAACTACTTATTTATATTAGTGTGAGCACTGCTGCTAGTTTAGCAAAATATTATGTTTTATGTGAAAAATAAAATAATTATAGTTTAAATATTATGTTTTATTAAAAGTACCCGTAACCGGCGAGCGTGTATGACAAGATTGATGAATGTGGAAGAAGCGAAAGAGGTTTGTTTGAATCGAAGCATTTGGCGTTCCATTGTTTCTGCCTACCCTAATGGGAGACAGGCATGTATGTATGTATGTTTTATGTGATCGATTGGACTTTTTTTTATGGGTGATAATGGTATGGTAACGGTAACCCTGCCTGCGCTAACGATATACGCTGGCGGAGCACCAGTGAAGGGTAGATGAGAATGAAAGGCCAGTCAGCCCATCATGATGAATTCATCAGGAATTAACCATAATAGTTTCCAGGGAGAACCGCGGGGAGGTCGGCCTGGTTGGGTATATTGCTAGCAATGGGATTCTCAGTCTCCATTACTAACAATTCCTTTCCCCCCGATCGATTGGACTAAGGCCGAAGACCGGTTGGCCACCCCTGTTGTATAGCATAATTTTCATTATTATATCAACCGTTAAGTGTCCACTGCTGGACATAAGCCTCCCCCATAATAGATTTAGCCAATATATTTAGTAACAAATCTAAACAGCCATCTGTTATTTGATTTTTAACTTGTAATACTGTCGGAGATCAGCCAACTATCTTATGGTCAAGTCTATTATTTGTTTGTTTACATTTTATATATAGGTAGGTATATATAAATATATGTATGTATATATTCCTTATTGCACTTACAAATTCCACAGATAAGAGCTATATATATATACGATAGCGGAACTAAACAATTCTAATTAACTATCCAGTGATATAGTCTTCTACAAAATAACACTTAGTTCTGTAAAATAGTTATATTGTGAGATGAGTGGACTTATGTCTGGAAGAGATGTCTTCCAGCTATATATTTAAGTGCTAATAGTTATAAATTTAAGTTTTTTTTTTTTAATGGGTGATAATGGAATGGTTACCCTGCTTGCGCTATCGGTATACGCTGGCGGGGTATCAGTGAGGGATGATAGATGTGCATGAAGCAGGTCAGTTGGCCCATCGTGACGAATTCAACAAGAATTGTTCACGATGGTTTCCAGGGCGAACTACAAGGAGGTCGACCTAATAGGGCATATTACTAGCAATGGGGCTATCAAACTCTATTGCTAACAATCCCTTTCCCCCCATTTTTTTTATTTTTTTTTTAGTTTAGCGTTGTAATTAAGATGTAGTGTTAATTAAGATTTAGTCCCGGTTCTTTCTGTTTACATACCCTCCATGGGTAGGGGGGAGAAAAGATTGTTAGTAATGAAGATTGGTAGCCCCATTGCTAGCAATATACCCTGTTAGGTCGACCTCCTTGTGGTTCTTCCTGGAAACCATCGTGAATGATTTATTGCTAGATTCGTCACGATGAACTAACTGATCTACTTCGTATACCGATAGCGCAGGCGGTGTTACTATTTCATTATCATCCATTAAGAAAAAACCTCCATGGATACTGGAGCGAAGAACTAAATAACAAAGGATCTTAAAATCAAGCGTTCGACTTGTTACCGTTCGGAAATCATCTATTTCTCTTTGTTACATGGTGTATTATAGTATTATAGTGTATAGTTTACTATTGTAATCTTTTGGAGGAAACAATAAAGAGTATCTATCTATCTATCTATTTTGTCATTTGTGAAACGATTTTAAAAGTTTTTTTTTATTGAAACGAATTGTTTTACTAATTTAGTTGCAATAGGTGTGGATTTTTCTAAATTATAATCATTTGATATAATCATTTATGCGTGTATAAAATTATTATCAGTATTAAAATGAATTTAGTAGGTTCCTAATTTTTTTTTAATGGGTGATAATGGAATGGTAACCCGCCCTCGCTATCGGTATACACCGGCGGGGCACCATGTGAAGGATGATAGGTGAGGATGAAGCAGGCCAGGCCAGGCAAGCAAGCAGGCAGGCATCGTGACGAATTCAACGAGAATTGTTCACGATGGTTTCCAGGGGGAACCACGCGGATAGGGCTGATATTGCTAGCAATGGGGCTGTTAAACTCCATTGCTAACAATCCCTTCCCCCCAGATTCCCAATATTACCTATTACTACTAATACAGCTACTAAATCACTATTATTAAAAGTAAACCCCTATTAAAAAAATGGGGAAAAATGGGTTAGATATAGACAAATAAAGCACAAATAATAATAATTATAATTTTATTGCATAATTTGGCATTTGTTAGTAACAATTATTTAATTATGAGTAAGAGCCTCTTTTACAATGCGTTTAAATTAGAAAATAGTATTGTCGAAAACTATACTGGTTGCTGTAACGATAGACACGTTTACGCTACTGTATGCATGAAATAGAACGAGACAGCAACGTCTGGCGTTTCTTCATACTCGAGTGATGAAGATATACCTACCGATAGATGTGTTAGCCATTTGTTAATGACCAACAAGCCGACAGCCCACCTGATGGAAAGTGGTTTCTTACAGAAGTTCATAGGGAAAGCTGTCTAGTTTTATTTTTATTACATAACATTTATACTCTTTCGTTGTACTCCGTATACGATTTACTTAAACGGGCTCCGTTGAACAAAACATGTCATAGAACAGTTGACATTGAACATTTTTTTTTTTATTTGACTTTTAAATGTTGTTATGGTTTTTGAAGAGCAAGAACATTCAAAATATTTAGTAATACATTACAAAATAATACTTTTGACATTACTATGTGTTTCTATAAATAAATTTCAGTGCCGCATCAGTGTAACTTATTTTTGATTTTATTTAATTATATATTTGAACTTATTTTAATGTATATACACTGGTGTGGGCAATATTAAAATGGCTGATTATCAATATCCAAAAACCAATATATTGATTTTTTTATGCAACTTTGAATGGCAAACAAGATAACCGCCAACCTGATGGAAAGTGATAACCGTCGCCTATACACATGAGCAGTACCATAGACTTAACAGAGTATACTGTTTCGCCCATTATACCCCCCATGCGTTGCCATTCCTGAGGACTCAGGTGTTATTCCTCTGTACCCTGTAAATTCACGCCATATCCCAACTTTAAAACCGAAATACAGCCATGCAAACACAACTGCTTCACGGTTGAAACACGAATGGGACAGAGGTGCCCAAGCAATTGACTTTTGTACAAAGTCTCCCTCTGGTAAAAGAATGCAAAGTAATAAACTTAATTTGACA